GGGAACAGAAAAGGTTTGGAAGAATTGTTTATGTTTGGAAGCCGGACTAAAATGCTCGCCTGTCTGTGGTTCGTGTCAGTCGACACAGTGTTTTAATTATAACAAAAATGAAGGTATTTTCCCGGAAAAATTAGAGATGGATTGAGACCCAGAAGGGGTTGAAGGGGAGGAGGATGAAATAGCTGTCGAGACAGCAACACAGGGTTTGTAAAAACAGAAGGAAGGGACGCGTGTAGGAGGGGAAGGAATAGAGCAAGAGCAAGACGATGAAGAGTATGATTCTGATGACATTGAATGGTTTAACGTATGATAAATTATAAGCACTGCTATGTATTTCGTATTTTCAACATGTTTTTCATAATAAAAGAAATGTTTCAGAAACTTTCTTATTTTTCTAAAATCCTGGACCTATATTGTTCCGATAGAAGTTGGCGAAAATTTTGCAAAAGACGCAGAAAATATAAAGGGTTTTCTCTGGTCAATATTCATCACACTCTAAAACTAGTAACCCACTATTAGGCAAAGCGCCGGGATTTGAGACTGCCACATTAAAAAAAATTTTTTTTTACTTTTCTATTAAATTTTGCAACTCAAATTACACAGAACATTCGACAATATAGATGCGCTACTTTACAGAAAAAATCCCGTAGAATCCGCCAATAATTGTCGAAAGATCGATTGTTGCCCGGATTTCCATTCATAGGCCCCGTAATTTAGTGAGCAGAGGTACGCCGCTGGCGCCATCTACAATTGGTCTCCAAAGTCCAAAACATGAAAAATCAATGTATTCCCAACTCCCTCTAGCGGAAATTCAGTGAGAAACTAACATTTCTATTCAGTGCAAAATTCGGGCTTTTTCGAAGGCTGTTTTTGTAAAAAATATTCGTCTTGCGAAAAAAATGGTAGAGACCATTTTTGTAGATAATGATACGGTCTTCATTTTTTATCTAAACAAAAATTGTCTAATTTGTATATTTTGGCAGATATTAGCGGGGAACCATTTTTTCGGAATTTTGAGCCGTTTCCGACCCAGCAGTGTTGGTAAAAGTTTTCGTCCTTGAAAGCAACCAAGACCTAAGAATTGAGTCACAAAGGAAATCTGGACCGACTTAATGACAGCTTTGCATATTTTCAGGTATTCAGTTACTGAACTATAATCACAACTCAAATTTTTAAATATTGTAAAGACCGGTCCAAATTAGAAGCGGCAAAAAAACGAAGAAACTTCAAGCCAGTAAAAAAAATGTAAAGTTGTCTATAGTGCAAAATACATAAATAAATTAATTCCTTAAATTTTATAACTTTCTAAGTCAGGTTTAATAGACATATTTTTGATTCCAGAACAGTAGTGTAGTCGCCATGGCGAGCACATCGGATGAGTGTGTCGACTGTGGAGACAATTTTATAGTAAATTCAAAAGTGGTTACTTGTAAGCTATGCGAAGATAAATATCACTCCCAGTGCCTTAAAATGAAAGATACCACCCTAAAAGTGATAAATGATAAAGAAAACATATGTTGGTTTTGTGATACATGCATTGTGGGTCTAGAAGAGAAAATTAATATCAGTAGACAGATAAAAAACATGGAAGTAGCAACTAAAAAAATATTAGAAGATGCCAAGCAGGTGGTGGAGACGGTTAAAAATACGCAAATTGAGCTAAATAGTAAGATGACATATGCTGATAAAGTAAAACAAACCGAAATTCCATTAATAATAAGACCAAAGAAAAAGCAAGATAGCACAGCAACAAGAAACGAATTAGAAGAAAAAATTAAGCCAGCTGAAAATGCCGTAGCAGTCAAAACAATTAAACCTGTCGGTCAAGGCAGTGTTTTGATAAAATGCGATAATGAGGATTCTCGGCAAAAAATCCAAAATAAAGTAATGAATGAGTTATCAGATAAGTATACCATTGACGTACCCACAGTTTTAAAACCTAGAATATTAATTGTTGGAGTGCAACAAGCTAGTAGCGATGATGAAAGTAAGTTTGTTGCTGATGTAAGAAGCCAAAATTTTCCCGATATTCAAGGAATTGATGATATTAAAATTATTAAAAAATACAGGCCCAAGAATAAAAATCATATAAATATAATCATGGAGGTACCACCCGTAATATTTGATCAAGTAATCAAAAAGGGCCGACTTTTTGGAGGATTGCAGAGTTACCTGGTATATGAGCACATTAGTGTTCGTCGTTGTTTTAAATGCTGGCGGTATAATCATAAGGAAGAAAATTGTACTTCTACCAGAATTGTGTGTCCTGAGTGTAATGGTGAACATAAAAGCTTCGAATGTAATGAACTAGTAAAAAAATGTACAAATTGTGTGTATGCACACGATATTCTAAAAATTCCTGGAATAGTTTTCAATCACTCTGTGTTCAATAAAGAATGTGTATCGTACAAGAGAGTAGTTGAACAAACCAAGTCCAAAATAAAATATATATATATATAGCCATCCCAGAAACTAAAAGAAGATACTAAATACAAAGCAATATGTATTAACATTGAGGGATTAACGTCACATATTGATGAACTTCGGGAAAATAAACCTTTATTAGTAAACGTAACAGAAACACATATTACTGCAGATATAGAGGACAGCGAGATTCAAATTGCAGGGTACCACTGTATAGGAGTGAATTCCGATAGCAGACATACTGGAGGTTGTATAATTTATTTAAGGGAAAACGTAAACTATTCAGTTATACAAAAAGTGTCGGTCTCTTTAAACTATTGGGTACTATTACTTAAAATACAACAAAGTAATAAGTCAGCTATAATTGGAACTGTTTATCGATCCCCACATGGCAATTGTAATGATTTTTGGCTGTTTTTTGATGACTTACTACAGAGAGATCTTGTAAATACTAATGATACGATTATATTTGGAGACTTCAACATGGAGTTTAGATCTGATGTGGGTATAGTCAACAAGTTCAAAAATACTATACAGGATTCGGGATTTAAACAAATTGTCAAAAAACCAACAAGAATATCAAAAACTTCGTCTTCCTTGATTGATTGGATAATAACAAATAATTTCTCGCTAATTGAACTTCCACGAGAATTTCCAGTAATGTCAGATCATGAAATGATAGGTGTAGAATTAAAGGGATGGTGTATAGATCGGAAAAAGGAAATGACTTGTGTACGTAAAATAAATAAGGAAAAAATCAAGAAAATTACAGAGAATCTAATAGAAGCATCATGGGATACGACCTCAACAGATACCGATGTTTTATACAGGAACTTTATCAATAATACCACAAAGTCTATAGAAAAAATTGCCCCATTAGAAATAATGGTGAGTAACAGTAAACCATGGGTAAATAATAAAATAAAACAAGCACAAAAAGTTCGTGATGAAGCATATAGGAAATTTACCATAACAAAAATTGAAGAAGATTGGAAATTATATAAAACTAAAAGAAATAAGGTAACGACCATAGTCAGACAAGAAAAGAAGACATATTTTGAGGACAAAATAGATAAATCTAAAAATGATGGAAAAGAAATGTGGAGAACTATAAAACAATTGCTAGGTCAAAATAAAAAAAAGTTAGATGTTGAAAAAATTATTTTTAGTGAACATAATAGTACTGTGGAAGAGAACTTTAATAATTTTTACAAAAATAGTATCCAGGAAATCGCAAACAGCATTGAAGATAAGAGGATTTCACCCATGGAGGACGTCAATATCAACAGTGAGTTTGGTGCTTTTAAAAAAATAAGTTTTAATCAATTAACAAAAATAGTGAACAATCTTAAAAATAAAAGTTCAGGTGACGCATGTTTAAGTATTGCACTATTGAAGGGGTTATTTTGTGTTATCGGGTACCCTCTTCTTAATCTGGTAAATACGGTCCTTGTAAAGGGTACGTTTCCCAGTGATTTAAAAGTTAGGGTAATTGTGCCAATTGCCAAAATATCATGTCCAACAAGACCAGAAGATTGTAGGTCTATAAATTTATTACCATCTGCAGATAAGATCATTGAAATTGTAGTAAGAGATCAGCTCAAGTCTTATTTTGAAGACAATAATATTTTGTATGAGGGACAGTCAGGGTTTAGAGACCAACATACTTGTGAAACAGCTCTCCAATTTGTTTGTGCGAAATGGAGAAATGATATGAATGAAAATAATATTATTGTTAGTGTTTTTATTGACCTTAAAAGGGCTTTTGAAACAATAAATAGAAATTTTTTATTAAAAAAGTTGCAAAATTACGGTGTAAATTCGGTAGCATTAAATTTAATTAGGGAGTATTTGTCTAATAGGTATCATAAGACTAAAATAGGAAATAATATATCTAGTGAAACAGAAAGCCACTACGGGATACCGCAAGGAAGTGTGTTGGGTCCACTTTTATTTATTATTTATGTAAATGACATTCATAAACGATTAAAAAGATCATTTATTAGCCTTTTCGCGGACGACACGCTCATTTCAGTATCTGGTAGAGATTTTCAGGAAATAATTCAAATATTAAATGAAGAATTGTCGAATTTAATACTAATATATAAGATGATACATCACAAAACTCCGAAATACCTTAGTACACTACTTGTAAAAAGATCTGAACTTCATTTACGTCAACTCAGATCAATGGACAATTTTAATATTGATTTCACAAAAAAATCTTTTTTGATGGGCTCATTATTGCAGGAAGGGATTCGTCTTTTTAATGCGTTGCCTAAAAATATAAAAGATGCCCCAACTCTAGGTAGTTTTAAAAATATGATTAGTAATTATCTAGGTTTAGGTAACCTATAGTTTTAAGTTTAAATTGTAAATATTTGTTTATAACTAGCTGAAAGCTAAATAAAGAATTTACTTACTTACTTATTATCTGACATAATTTATAACCTACCATTCTGTTACATCCTATATAAAATAAGTTACTATGGTCAGTACAAAAACTATTGTGCAAAAAAATTAGTAATATCACTAAGTGTATTATTTTATCAAAACAATGGACACAACAAACTCACCTCGTGTGAATGCAATCTCTTCTTAAACGCGTTTTTTATTGCACCAAAATCAAAATCATCTCTTCTACTATCATCACCAGAAAGTTTACTATCATTAGAAAAACTGCTATCGTTCATAGTATGGTTATTATTAGAAGAAATTTTACTTTCTTCCGAAGCTCCTGTATCGTTTAAATCGATTTCACTAAATGTTTCGTTACTGCTGTTATTTACACTTTTAATGTTTTCATTAACACTATTACTATTATCACTATTAACACTATAATTGAGCTTGTACTCGATATCACTAGCTTTAACTTTTCTTGCGGTTTCAGAATTGACATCAGTGTTATCTATTTTTTTCTTAAACATTTTACTAGTATTTTCGAATACCTTTTTGCATTTCGTTTTAGAATTTTTATACATTTCTTCTAAGTTAATAGTGATTTTTTCTTTTTCATTGAAAGCCCCTACTCTTTGTTTCGATGCCTGTTCTTGCATGATGTTATTAAATTTGGTTTTGAAAGAATCCCAGTTCTCTTTTTTTAATATTTTCGGTTTTTTTAATTTCGGTAATTTTGAAGTGCTTTTTGAGCTTGTTATTGATACTTTACTAGGTGTTGTATCATCTCTTTTGATTATTATTTGGCTAGCTGATATATGCTCTATGCTAGAATGGTTAGATATCACCAAAACTGGAGTATTTTCGTTTTTATCGATATCAAATTCTTGTAAAGATTGAGATAACCGACTGGTCACTTTTAGAGGTCTGGGTACTTGGTAATAATCTTCGTTATCACTATGGCATCTTTGAGATACATTTGGATCACTACCAGCTGATTTTACAGCTAAAGGAATGCTTTCTAAGCTTTTAACATAGACTTCTGTATGTGACATGAATTTTTCACTAGGATGACTAGGAGGTAGCACATCGTACTCTTCTAAAGATAACTCTTCGTCTTTTAATGATGAACAATCTGGTACAATAACTCTGTTGTCTTCAGGTGTTGTCAAAACGATTTTAACATCATTTTCATAAATATTATCATTCTCTTTAAGTTTCTCGTCTCCAAAAAACTTGAAGCTTATTCTAGGCACATCATATTCACAGTTATCTTCGTCTTTAGTTACTATTTTGGTACATACAGGTTCTAAATCTTGAAAGTTTTCCACATCAGTGTCAGACATAGCTCTGGCATCTTCAAATTCACCCGAAGACGTAGATGATGATTCTATATAAACACTGTTGGGTAAACTTCTTGTTTGATCGAACTCATTTTGAGCTTCAGTGAAATCGTAAAAACCTGATGATAATTTAGAAGCCTTGTCGTCTTCTCTAGATAACGATTTTCGAAATAGATTCGTGTTTAAATTCGGAACTGTGATTCTCCATTGCTGTTTGTTAATTTTTGTGGTAATAAACTTTTTCATTTTGAATCACTTCTATCCATTTCATTCTGAAATGTGAATATACCTTATCAATTGAAATAAATGATATGATGGGACAGTAAAAAGTTGTTTAACTAGTGACGCGGATGAAGTATATAATAAAATAAACAATATAATTATAGTTAGCAGGTAGCGCGGTTACTGGCAGAGACATGGACGTAGATGTGGATAATTTTTTATAGGTACCTAATTTAGATTTGCATATAAGTCGTTTGATATAATTACGGCGTTTGAAGGGAAATAGGAAATTACTGTATAGTAAATGCTAATTTAAATAGATGTTAATGAAGTGTGTGAATCATAATTTTCATGTAATGATTAATTCAGTGCTAATTTTATCAAAAAAAAATTGCTTAATTATTTATATATGTATGTAGTATAAGCAAATTTATCTTGGACTGTAAAATATGTTTTATCTAACGATTTTAATAGTTGACTTTCAGAGACGGACTTAGGTTCTATTTAAACATAAATGACCTTCTCAGGCCCGCGTCAGTATATGTAGTAAAAAATGTAAAAGCGTCCAATAACATCAAATTTTGTATTATACAAATAATTAAATTTAATAAAGGGAGTTTTAATCATAGTTTATAGTCTATTTTTATGTATGAGAGAGTAAGAAAACAGCATTTCTAATGCAAAACTTACTACGGTCATTTTAAATATTTTTACAGAATAATCTAAATATTTCCTAAAATTGTAATAAATGTACCTGAGCTATTACAAGTTTTGGGTCTTTTATTGGTCCTTTATAAACATAAGCTGTACAAAACAATAGAAAAAGGTTTGGACAGGCCAAAAGCCCTGTGTATTAAAGATTACATATTACGTATCTTAAGATTATTTTCAATAAGTACCTATTTGCCAATTTTGTTTTATTTTAATTCCAAGAATTTCTTACAGTTATCAAATTATAAGTAGATAAATACCTTCCCAACAAATTTCACCGAAAATGCGATTATAGGTTTTCCATTTAGTAAGGAGGTCCAAGTTGTGTATTCTTGACAGTTTACTAAATGTCGTTTAGTTGCAACTTGCAAGGTGCAGTGTGAATTCTAGTGTGATCATGGAAAATTTGGAAGGGCCGCGTAAACGACAAAAAATCGGTCCTTTAACAGTTAATGAAAAAACATTAATATTTAATTGTTTTAAATCATTTACAGACAAACATTTATGTAAAAGTGTTGATGACACAGTGGAATTAGTTAGTAGTTCGCTTGGTGTTGGGAAATCTACGATTTACAGAGTTGTTAAAGAAGAGAAATGTGGAGAGTTTCAAACAGCACGTAAAGCTCCAGGAAAACCAAAATTTCAATTAGAAAATCTTTTGAAAGAAAGACTTTGAAGGAAAGTGCATGCGTTCTTCTTTAGAAAAGAATTTCCGACAGTAGACAAAGTTCTTGTCACGGTTCGAGATGATAAGGATTACCCTGAAATGAGTCGAAGCACACTATGGAAACTTTTAAAAGAAATAGGTTTTCTATGGAAAAAGCATTCCAGAAGGTCTATTTTAATAGAAAGAAGCGATATTGTAGTATGGAGAAGAAATAACCTAAGGACTATAAAAGAAATGAGAAACCAAAGAAGAAATATATTTTATTTAGATGAAACATGGATCAACGAGGGACATAAACCAAATAAATTTTGGCAAGATGAAACTGTTACAAGTCGAAGACAGGCTTTTTTTAAATAATTTATCTACTGGTTTAAATCCACCATCAGGAAAGGGGCGCAGACTAATAATAGTACACATCGGTAGTTCAAACGGTTTTGTTAAAGGTGGTTTATTGACTTATAAAAAATTATAGATAATAATATTAGAAGTAACTTTTATTTGAACTGTTTTTTTTTCTCCAAACATAAATAACAGATATATTCCATAAAATATAAAAACGGCCTCCCATAAAGTACCCCCCCAGATGTTCCGACTTTGTCCAAAATCTAATCATTTCACGTCAGGCCGAAATAAAACTTAAGTTTAAAATTTAATGTTTTTTTATCCGTTTTTGAGTTTTTCTCAAAGCTTAAGTTTAAAATTTGGTGTTCTTCTGTGTATCGGTTCATGAGTTATGCGACACACACACGCACACGCACCCTTACCCGCACCTGCACCCGCACCTGCACCTGCACCCGCACCCGCACCCGCACACGCATACGCACACGAACACGCACGCACACACGCACGCGCACACACACACAAACACACACAAACACACGCAAATACACACAAACACACACAAACACACACAAACACACACACACACACACACACACATACATCATCGCGAAAATAGTCAAAACGGATTCAGGGGACCTCAAAACGTAAAAATCCGTTGAAAACTCGAGGTTGAAAAAAATCATGATTCCTATACTTTCCTTATATCTGTATACAGATAGGAAAGTAAAAAGGATTTGGTTTCAATCCGGATTCGAACAAGACCCTATCAATTAAAGACATGGCGTAATAAGGATACATGCCATATTCTAAGTTTTGGGAAAATTGAGTTTTTAGTTTGTTTTAAATCTGTCAAATATAAAAAGAAAAAATTATATAAATATAAATATAACGAAAAATAATGTCTCTACATAAAACATGAGGCTAATGGCCTAAGTTGTCGAAGCCGAAGATATTAATGAAAAAGAAATGAATAAATTATATACACTGGGTGTTATTTTTTTTATAACTATTCAGAATGGTACAAAATAAATAGTGGAAAGATTAACGGTTTGACTAATCTGCAGGGGTTATAATATAAATAAAATGTAACATAGTCGTATATTTTGAATTTTCATGAATGTCAATGGTATTCTCCAAAAACAAACTGATATCCAAGTTTTCTTGGACGTACAATAAATTCAGAGGATACAACTTCTATCACATTATCCATCCATCAAATACAGCAAGAGGAGGAAGTGCGTTAATTATTAAAAATAACATTTCCCACTATGAGGAACCAAGCACCAAAGAATCAGAAAATCAGGTAACCATTAGCACCTTTAACATTAAGGGGGCAAAATTACAATAGCTGCTATCTATTGCAGAAAAAAGAAAATGATCTAAATGTACTCAAAAAACTAGGTAACAAATTTATAATCGGTGGAGATTACAGCTCCAAAAACACCAACTGGGGTTCAAGGTTAACCACAGTCACCGAGCTGCATCAGAACTTGGTTGTGCATGCCAATCTTCTGAAAAACCCACCTATTGGCTCACCGACCCAAATAAGATTCCAGACCTTTTGGATTTCTTTGTTCTGAGGAAAATTTCACAAAACTATATAAAAGTAGAAGAAAAAACTTTCATATGGATTCAGACCATTCTGTAGTAATCCTTACTTTAAGTGATAAAATAATTGAGAAGGTTTTCAAGAGGACTTAACAAATACTATTCAACTGACCATATCTAACGAGAAGAATGTTTAGAGTAAAGCAAGACGAGGCATACTCCAAAATGAAAAAAATTAAAGCAGGTGTCTCACAAGGCAGTGTGTTAGGACCAGTTTTTTACTTATTATACACCAGCGATAACCCTCAACAACAATGTGTTAAAATTGCAGCGCTTGCGGATGACACTGCAATATTGACAATTGGCGGAACTAATACAGAGACCTCAGAAAAACTTCAGGAAACCTGCAACAGAATCAATCGATGGACAAAAAAGTGGAAAATAAAAATAAATCAAATAACCAATTAGTTTATAAGATTTTTAGATTAAACTTGTAGGTTAGTTAAAATGACTAGTAACAATACTATAAGGGGGTGGGTGGCTCAGTGGTAGAGCCTCTGCCTGTGGATCCAAGGGTCCCAGGTTCGAATCCCACCGTTAGCCGGAATTTTTTCATTTAATTTAATTATTTAAAATTAATTCTGATGCCTTGGTAGGATTCCCTACTCGACTATTCACTGTTGGGTTCTAATTAACAGTGCTGTTCCTAAAGTGGCGCTGGGAAACAGTACCAAAGCCTATACAGAACACGAGGCGAAATAGCAGTTGAAGCCGATGACACAAAAAAAAACAATACTATATAAAAAATGATTTCTACATAAATGTCTGCAGAAAATACTCTATATATTTTTTCCAAATATAGTAGGTACCAAAAAATTTTGGAAAACAGCGATATCATCCCCTAGATGAGAATAAAAGAAATTTAGTAAGATAGGAACAAAATGAAGATATACTTTGTGTCTACTTCAGTTGGAACCATATGGAAAACTTTTTTATTATTGGTTTTGTAAAAAAATTTATTCTTGATAAAAAGTTTTGAATGGTCTAAAACTTACAATGCAATCATCAGATATCAATTTTTTAAGCCGTATACGAGGTTTGTCAAAAAATATAATTTTTGCTGAAGAATAAAATACCTTCATTTTTATCAAACGTCCTATACGACTAAAAAAATTGATATACAATGGTTGTATTTTATGAATAATAACTTTTTTCTCAATATTAATAATAAAAAAGTTCCTCACATGCCACCAACTGAATTTTTCGAATAAAAAATAATTCCGCACCAAAAAAAATGTTGCCGATCCCACTGGAAATGGACTATGTTCCACCTATGCAATCACTTGTTCGTTAGCTAGGTACGAAATCATTGGGAAGGTCATCAAAGTATTGTTATCATTGGTAACATTATTACCTATTACGTCGGGTACTAAATGTTTGATTTGGTTACAAAACAAGGTTTTGGTTTCTATTATTTGATCATCTCTGCATAAATATTAACGATAATTTCGATTTTTCGTTGTTAAAAATTCATTTGTTAAACAAGTTTTTTAACTTTTATTAAAAAAACTATGTGAAATATTTAGTTGACCTTATTTTTTTTATTGTCAATGGCAAACGAGTGAATTTGTAAGTGCTAATACAATATTCAGTAGGATATACACAAGAATTAGTTTTAATACGCAAATTATAGTTCTAAAAATATATATCCTTTTAGTTCCCACATAATTATTAATTACTCAGATGGAGGAAAGGC